CTCTCAGACCAGCGACCCGGCAGATGGTCTGCATCCTCAGGTGGAGCGCTGGAGCACTTTAATTGTGATCACTACTGCAATGGCATTAACAACCTCTTCATTCCCCTCGACATGAAACACTTATGATATGATAATCCTTATTATTCTGCAGAGCAATTTTCTTCTCTGTCTGAGACGCAGTGTGTGCTTTGAACTCGGCCTCTGCTCTGATATCTACAAAACACTACACAATGTAGCTGGCCCTCAGCGTTCAGCAGTCAGTTCACTTCCATTTTTGCATGTATTTCAGCATGTATTTCAGCAGAGCTGTTGATTAAAATGTAGATCACAGTAGTGTTTTGTCAGATCAATAAGCCTGCTGTGATTAGTCCTTTGTGTGTTAAAACACTGGAAATCAGGGAGAAGAAAGGTTTGGGCTCTGTAATATTGTTTCGAAGCTTAAATAATTTTGTGAAATTTTTTTTTTCCTTCATTTTAGTTATTAGCAGTGTGGCGTTAAAGCAATCGAACAAAAACATGTCGTTCTAAGCCAGTTTTACATTTTTCTGCATAAATGGAGCCATTTTGTCATCATTTCCAGTTTTTTAATAATATGTGATGGCTTTGTGTCATGAACAGGCCATTTTTAATCTTACTAATATACTCATAAAATAAATTATATGCTTAAAATTGTACCTCCAGCTAAACTTTAATTGTCATGTTGATAAAATAAGTGATTTATGAATCTTTTAATTAAATCTTTTAGTTATTTTATGTGTAAGTGGGGAACTTAAGTGGGGAACTTACTTTTTTATTAATAGTTTGAATATTTTTGTGTTCATTTTGAATATAGTTAAATGATTTTTAGATGACTGTATATTGTTTATTAAATATTGCAAATATCTATTTGACAACAAACTGATTTTTTTTTGTGTGTGTGTGTGTGTGTGTGTGTGTGTGTGTGTGTGTGTGTGTGTGTGTGTGTGTGTGTGTGTGTGTGTGTGTGTGTGTGTGTGTGTGTGTGTGTGTGTGTGTGTGTGTGTGTGTGTGTGTGTGTATATGATGTTTAACAGAGCAAGGTAATTATCACAGTATGTCTAATAATATTTTTTTCTTCTGGAGAAAGTCTTATTTGTTTTACTTTGGCTAGAATAAAAGCAGTTTTTATTTTTATTTTTCCAATAGTCTACAGAAAAAAACATTGTTATATAATAACTTGTCTAATTACCCTAACCTGCCTAGTTAACCTAATTAACCTTGTTAAGCCTTTAAATGTCACTTTAAGCTGTATAGAAGTGTCTTGAAAAGATCTAGTAAAATTTTAATTTCTGTCATCATGGCAAAGATAAAATCAGTCATTAGAAATAAGTTATTAAAACTAAATTTGGGGAAAAAAAATAAACAGAAGGGCCAATAATTCTGACCTCAACTGTGTGCATATTCCATGTATACAGTATATATATTTATATACTAACTGTATACCTAATATTTTCTATTTGCATAGACTGCATCAGATTGTGCATCCAATGTGCATGTACAACTGAATGGAGTATTCTTATAGTTCAGTGTTATAAGCCTTTTAGCAACTATTAAACAGAACGTGATGCATTTGCCTGAAGATGACAAGGAAACATGTGTAGGGTTAAGACAGTTGTAACCCAACGATTGTAAAACCCAAGCCCTGTGTTAAGTAATGCTACTAGGGGGCATGACTCAATGTCTAAAAGAAAACATTCTAAAATACATTTAAAAACGTATGCTCAAAAAGTGCTTAGTGCTGGACAAAGCCAGAAAGTGTGAAAAAGAGTGTCTGGAGCTTGTTGAAGTTGTTTACAAATTGGATCAAAACCAGGGTCAAATTAGATAATATTTTTGCCTTAGTCCAATGAGATCTGGTGATTTTTAAGTGGCAAAAAGTTGCATAAGCTTTCAAGATACACCGTATGATTTCTAAAGTCTTTTTTTTCATGTAAATTGATAAGTCTATTTTTTTTGTTTATGAAATATTACTAACTAAATAATTATTTAGATATTTTAATTGAACCATTGTGTTCTATTCTTAAACTCTGTGAATCAATGATTTTATCAGAGTACCAACTCACTTGTTAACAAAACTGGATTTTGTTCATTGTGTAAATGAAATGGAGTTGAACTGAAATAGATTATAGTTCACATTTTACAGTATATGGCCTTTTCATAAGGCTTTTGTTTTCATTTTACCATTGTTTTGTCACCTTCAAAGCTAAAAAGAGCAACTGGTACCCTATTATCTAAACATATCCATTTATGTTTCACAAAAGGAAGAAAGAAATGATTCGTACGACTTGAATCAACACATGGTTGAGTACATGATGACAGCACTTTCAAACCTGCCTGTAATCCTCCAACAACACGCTTTGCGACACTTTGTTAACACTTCAGGCTCTTTTTGTCACCAAGTATCTCCGATTCTGAATGAAACCAATTAAAAGACTGCAACTCTTACACTTTTTAGTCAAACAGTCTTTGAAACTGTCATCTGTCAGACACTTGGTGCACAAACACACACACACACACACACACACACTGCGCCTAATTGCGCCAAGCTTAAAGGAGGAAACAAGGCATATTTCCCCATCATATCATTACCTTCCACTCAAAGTACTTACCGTTTAACCGAGACTCAGGGTTCAGCTCAATGAAAGCCTGCCTTCTCTCTCAGATTAGATAGATGAGGGTATATTGTGGCTGATGGTGTCTGAGTCACTGGCACTAATGCACTTCCAGGAAAATATCAGCAATTGAATAAAGCAGTGTCCTTGCGACTTTAGACGTCTATACTGTCGTGGTTTCAGCTCCACCGACTGTGACATTTAAATACAGGTTATTATGTGCGGTTTGGGTCCCGGTTGTACGTGGAATGCTATAAGCTGTCGACATAAATGCTAAATTGTTTGTACGTGCTCCAGAAGTGGCTGTTCTCTGAAATGTTGTTTGGCTGGCTTGGAGAGATTTGTGTTATCAGTGTGTTCTTTACACTTGAGTTAAGTTGGAGTGTAGTGCTGCTGTTTTAGAAAGTGTGTAAAATTTGGTTTTCAGTGCCATAGAACTGGGCAGTTTGACTAATCAAAACAGTGACTATGTTTACATGGACATCAGTAATCTAATGGTTTGCCTTAATCTGAATATGACAATAATATGATTAAGGTGTTTACATGAGTTGCTTTTTGAATGTTCCTTTCATGATACTGTTTTACATGTTATAGCACATAATTCGATTAACATTGTTGCATCACCGCACTATCCACGTTTCTTCCACAGCTTCATGTAATTCAACTTTAACTGCAGTTTGACACTTTCACGTTCATTCAGAAACATTTCATGCTTGCCTCCAATGACAAACGAGATATTGGATGTGAGTATGAACTGCTGGAAGAGTGTTGTTTTATTGGTACTACATGCCGTATAGGAAAAAAGTCTTCAACATTTCTCAATGCAGGTGTCTGTGGTCCTTCTCTGACTCTGTAGGTGCAGAGAATATTGTCAAACAGCAGAGTGTGTAAAGACTATACTGTCTCAAATGTTGTGATAATCCTTCATGACGGTAATAGTTTAAGGTGTTTACATGTCTGTACCACAGGTCAATAATGTGACTGAATCATCCTCCACATGTCTTAATTTGATTTCTGTTTAGTTCGATTATGACTTTAGACAGATTAAGGTATTCAAACTGTTCTGTTTTCATGGTGGACTCTAATCAGAGTATTGTGTTTATCAGATTAAAATTATTAAATTATTGATGTCCTTGTAAACGTACTCATTGTCTTCAGAAGTAGTTGTTTGTTTTGTTTTTTTATTCCAATGTGCCTCTACAATGTAAATATTTGGCATCTGTAGGATTTTTTTTTAAATTAGATCTCTCCAAGATTGCATTTATTTGGTCAAAATAATAATAATAATAATAATAATAATAATAATAATAATAATAAATAGAATATTCAATTTTAAAATGCAATTTACTACTTTGATGACAAAGCTGAAGTTTACCAATCATATTTCCAGGGTTACTGTAAGAGTGGCATGATCCTTCAGACATTTTCTAATATGCTGATTAGACACCAAAAATAGAATTACTTATTATAACCAAGGTTGCTTTTTTCTTTTCTTTTTTTTTAATGTAATGCATTTCTATTTATTTTATTTATTTATTTATTTTATACTATTTGATGAGTAAATAAGGGTATTGAAGGTAATCTCTTTGTTAACACTTAAAGTATGTGTCATTGCAAAATAAAAGTATTCATATTAATAGTTATGTATAAATAAATCATTGACCCTGAGCATTCATAGTTCATCTCAGCAAGTCATTTCCTCAAAACACTTCTAAACCAACAGTGGGTTATTTTTTATTTAATATTTTATAGTTATAAGTTATAAGTCATGTTATGTATTCCAGTGCTCTTTTTAGCATTTAGTTAAATTTTATTGAGCTTATTCTTCATGTAAGTAGAGGCGCAGTCTTTGGAATCTTTTTGGTTCGAGACTTCCGGTATTATTGACTTTCAATATATTTTTTGACATTAAAAACAGCTTGTTTTGCTGCTTGATGCTACAAACTGGTATTTTCTAATTGTATTATTTTTCTTTTTTATGTGTAGTCATGAACAGACTTGTTTGCAGAGCAAGTAGACCGCTTTCTGCCGTTAATTATTCCTAGTCATTTCTCCGACTGGATCTGATGTTCTAAAACAATCACAAAAATGAGCACTTCTGTATTGCTGAAAAAGGTCAATAGGATTAAAATGACAGAATAATTAAAAGTAAAATTGTGCACACAAACAGAAAAAAGAACAAAAGAAAAGACTCATTTCCACATATAGTGTATTTGCCCAAACTGCATATGTTTGAGTTGCAAGCACTTCGCCTGGACTGTTGAATGTTCCTATGGTGTGATGTACATTAGCTATGCAACAGTGGCTTTACCGAGTCTATGAGTGTTGCACAATGGAAGCACATCTCACCATGTTTTCACCATTTTCCAGTGTCTCCAGAGACTCCAACTTCCATTCCTCCAACCACTGCCGACATTAGTGAGTATATGCCGACTGTGTGCAGTGTTGTTTGCCACTCGCCTCACCTAGACCATTGTTCCTGAAGTCAACACCGCTGGCGTTCACAGTAGAGCGAAAGCATACGTCTGTGATAGAGAAGAGAGATTGTGTAGATGTTAGCGAGGGAATTGAGACACCGAGTTTGTGCTCATGATCCTCAAGTCTCTGTAGAAAACCATCACTAACATCCGCTTGTAGAGCAGTTCACCTGTCTAACGTGTCACTGCATGGTAGACGTATTGGAGTATGAAATGTTTTGTTGTGCAGATGGTTATTGCTTTATAAACTCATGATGTGTGCTGATTTTTGTAAGCGATTGGGTGTGTTGTCGAAACAGCATGACACACACAGTTTCCCTGTCGTGCACTATGAGACATTAATGAGATGTGTTGCATACTGTCTTGACTGTGGAAACTAATGGAGCTGTCTTCACCACATTAAGACAAATTGTCAACATTAGTATGAAACCCAGACTCATTGGAAAAATATGCCATTCCTGCTATAGTTGCACTTTTTTAACAGTTTTACACATACATTTAACGATATTAATTAATTTATTTAATTATTTGTAAATTGTGTTTTTTATTAAGAACGTGTGTTTGAAGGCAATAAAAGGACATATTCATTGGCATTAAAATAAATTTACTAAACATATACACAGGAGCCTGAGCAAAAATGCTAATTTTAGAAGAACTCTATGTATAAACCGATGAATAATTATTAAAATATTTAATCTTTGATGGGGATGTTAGCTGTTGATTTGCGTTACAGTGCAGGGATTAGAGCTGCTGGATTTACTGCATGTTAATTCATCAACCACTCCTGAAATACATAAAAACAAGTGTTTGTTTAACTGGGACGTTAAAAGAGTAAGAATGTGTCTCTAATGTGAATAAAACATCCATCCACCCACTCTCCAAATAACTTTCTGTCAATATCTAATACCCTATTATAATGAAGGCAAAAATGCTGTGTAAAAAAAAGACAACTTTCTTAGACGCTGCCTTGTATTTTACAAACTTTAAACAAGGGCTGAACAATATTTCAGTTGAGCATCGATATAGCAATGTGTGTATCCGCAATAGTCACATCGCAGGATTAGATTATTTATTAAACATTTTAAAATATATATTATTTAAGATTATTGTATAAAATTATTCATACAATGTTGATCATGTTATTTTACATTTGATTTATCAATTTCTGTAGTTCAATACTATTAGACTCCCTAGAAAACCATAAAGCACTATTTATTTCATTTTTATTTTTGCTCAATAATTTTAAATATGCTTGTAATATATAATTTTTATGCAGATGCACTGCACTAAAACGGCTTTATCAGCCCAGTTGATCTAATTAATGAAATCTTTCTAATTAGATCTGATCAAATAATCTGGTGAAATTATATTCATATCGCAATGTAAATCGCAGCAAAACAAAATATCACAATGTCAGATTTTAACAATAGCATGCAGCCCTACTTCAAACGTTTGTGGTTCTTTGCTAGTGTTAGTGTATTCCAGTGTATTCTGAAACTGAAAATCATTGTTTTATACAATTTTTAACTGGAATAAACAATAGTGACTTTTCTGGATATGTACACAAATTATGATTACAGGCATCAATTAATAGCAATTCACTTTCATATTCGTATTCTGTGCTCAAATTATCTCCTCAAAACTCTTTCACATAGTGAATGATTTTTAATGAACATTTGCATCACAAATCTATCTCTGTATACTATATATGGCTTTCCTACATATGTGGCCAATAAAATCATAAAAGCATTTTTTACCTTTTTCCGCCTCATTTTGTTCTGTGGATAGCCATCTCATGCTGTCAAACTCTCCTTGGAATTGAAATGAACTCTACTGTACAGATTACAAGGTTACATACAAAACTGTAATTATTTTGTTGCTCCAAATTTTAAACCTTGTTTTAAAATATGCAGGCTTACATTTAAACCATTTTTGATCATTAATTTATTTTATATTTAAGATAGATAAACTTTAAGATTTACTATTATAAATAAAAAAGAAAATTAAAGCGCACTGAGTCGTCAGATTGAGGGTTGTGGCAGCCTTTAGTAAACTTGCGTTTGCTATGGAATCTGTGAATCTGTGACTTATATCTGTGTTTCTCAGCATACAATACTGTATGTGCCTCTCGTTTCTTGTGGCGACTCCATACGCATGCTAAACGACGATCGAACAGACAGTGCTCCACTGTTATGCACAGAGGTGGTCACCAGAGGTGGGACCAAGTCATTGTTTGGCAAGTCACAAGTAAGTCTCAATTCATTGCCCTCAAGTCCCGAGTCAAGTCCCGAGTCAAGACAGGCAAGTCCCGAGTCAAGTCCCAAGTCAAAGGCAACAAGTCTCAAGTCAAGTCCAAAGTCCTATAGTTTGATTTTCGAGTCTTTTCGAGTCTTTTTAACAGAAAAATAAAATTTAAACAGATTATGTATGGCTGTAAGATCTGTATTTATTAAACAAATCTTTTTTTTAATGAAAGAACATTGCTTAGATATATAAAGATACAAATGTAATTTTCTGAAAAAGTGCTAAACAGTCCTGCGTCTCGTCTACACAGCCTATTGCACAAGAATGAGTTCCACCAAAAAAAGAGTCCATTTTGCCTCACATCACACAGAAATTGCAGATCTACTGCTGTCTAATTCATTAAGTTTATTTGTGCTATGTTATGTCTTCAGTGATCAACTTGTGATTAACTAAAACTACATAAACAACCTCAATGAGGCAGCAGTAGACCAACAACTCCTGTATGCTGCAAAGTAAAATTAAGTGAACTTGGTATTTTGTCAATTGAATCTCGTGTGTGCTGAAGAGATTGAGATGCAAATCTGTCTAGCAGCAATGTAAAATGGTAGCACATATTCTAAATGAAGTAGGCTACTTCATACAAACAATAACGTTGTTTTCTTCACATAACAATGAAGAACTTTGCTCTCTACCTTGTGTGATGCTCGTGCACCGATTTCCTCTGTGGACAAAACTGCTTGCGAGCTCTTAAATATACGCTGCTCACGCGCAAATTTTCTCGCTCTCAAATATGCACTGCTCACGCACACATTTTCCTGCGCGCTCTCAGAGATTATATATAGAATTTGTGTCTTGTGTTTCCTCTTCTTTTTGTGCTTTTTTCCACAGGGCCCCTGAGCACATCTATTGGCATGGACAGGGTTTTGAACAGTACTATAGTAAAGTACTTTAATTAATCTGTTGGGGTCATATTATAGTTGCTATGGTAACACAAGTGTAATATAAACAAATGACCCAGTGCTGTAGTTTTTTTACAGTATTGGGTATATTATACTACAATTCACCACACTTTACTGTAGTAAAACTACACTCTGTATTTAATTTTATTAGTTCACTATTCTTAATACTACAGTATGCTGAAGCATTCATTAACAACTTGTAAATAATACTAGGCTTAAACATAGGCAGTATACCTAACTCTCAAAAACACTAGTATTTATTATAGAATTTACCTTAACCTCATAGTTTTTCATGTATTGTTACTAAATAGTTTAGCAATATATAAACCATATCAACATTCTGGAATAATCAATTTATCAGGAGGATCCCTGGAGAGCAAAAGCAGGAAAGGTATGAAGCGCCAGTGTGGACAAAACTCAAGCAAACGCAGAGAGACTGAATACGCGCATGAGAGACCAGCAAATCAGATTGAAGTACCTGCCCACTGGTGAAAGTAATGTCAGAGCCAATCAGATTTTTCTTTCTTTTCATAAAGAACGGGGTTCGAATCCCACTTAGGCACTTGTAAACAATAATTTTAGAACATTTTGTCAAAAATCCCTACTGAAAAAACAGCTTAAACCAGCCTAGGCTGGTTGGCTGGTTTTAGCTGGTCGACCAGGCTGGTTTTAGAGGGGTTTTGGCCACTTCCAGGCTGGTTTCCAGCCATTTCCAGCCTGGTCTTAGCTGGTCAGGCTGGGAGATGACCAGCTAAAATCAGCTTGACCAGCCTAGCCAGGCTGAGAGCCCAGCCAAAACCAGCTATGTCCAGCTTAAACCAGGCTGGTCAAGCTGGTTTTAGCTGGATTAAGCTGGTCATTTTTCAGCCTGACCAGCTAAGACCAGGCTGGAAATGGCTGGAAACCAGCCTGGAAATGACCAAAACCCCTCTAAAACCAGCCTGGTCGACCAGCTAAAACCAGCTTACCAGCCTAGGCTGGTTTAAGCTGGATTTTTCTGCAGGGATATTGTTATGTTTAACCATTTATTAGAGCCACAAAGTATCTAAAACTTATTTTCATGTTTGAATAGCCAATAAATGTGCTAAATAAATTAAAATAGAAATACCCACAGTGAAACAGTTATATAAATTTAAATATTAGTTTAAATACATTCATAGTGGTTTTAAATATCTTTTAATATGTTAAGTAGAAAAGTTCACATTCAACAAACTGAATAAAACAAGTCTTCGTTTTTAGTTTATTTAAAAACAATTACAAATGGAGTAATTTAACTCACAATTAAATGATCTCATTGAGTGATGGAATAATAAAGGTAAAACTTTAATTGAATGATCAGTCAAGTGTTTCCAAATGAAATATGTTAAAATAAGAGTCCTACAAAACAGGAACAAACACTCCTGAAACAAAATGTGATTGCTAATTGTATTTTTTATTAGATGGTTGGTTTTAAGTACTTTAAAAATAGTAGATAAGCCTTAAATATAAAGGGGGAAATACAGAAAAACAAACAAACAGAAATTCAACAATATATATGCATTACATTACAATCTCGCAATAAAAAATTTAATTAAAAACCATATAGAGGACTAAAATATTGCTAAGAGGCATAACATCAACAATAATAAAATACCTTTAAGGTTTTAAATACTAAATAAAATTAATAGTATTAATCCAAAATATGAAAAATGTAGCACTTTACAATAAGGTTGTATTAATTAATTAAGTTTATGCATGT